ATGTCACGGTTATAGCGAGTCCATATATAGAGGTCAGTGATTTTTTTATAATGGCTTAATTTCATAATCCTTACACTATATTATGTACATCGGTCCGGATCGGTAGTATCAATGGGCGTGCCTCAGAGCTCGATTCTTGGCCCATTCCTGTTCTTAATCTATATTAATAACTTACCTTATCTTGTAGGGGCCAATCACGATATAGTATTATTTGCTGACGATACCTCTTTAATTTTCAAACTCAAACGGTAGTTAATTAATCATGACGATGTAAAAATGGCCCCTTTCTGTTTCTAGTATATATTAATGACTTACCTTACATAGTGGGGGCTAACCATACTATAGTATAATTTGCTGATGACACTTCATTAATTTTCAAATTAAAACGACAATTATTAAAATATGACGAAGTAAATAATGCTATATCTAAATTAGTAAATTGGTTTAATGTTAATAACTTGCATTTAAATGGCACTAGAACGAAATGTATGAAAATCATGACTCCAAATGTCAAACGATTATATACTAATGTAATTTTAAATGGGGAGGAACTGAGTCTTGTCAATACCACCATTTTTCTTGGAATAACACTAGACGCGAAGCTTCCATGGATTCCCCATATATCAAAATTAGCAAGCAGACTTAGTTCTGCAGCATATGCTGTAAGAAAGATTAGAAATTTTACCAGTGTGTAAACAGCTAGACTTTGTTTACTTTAGCTGTTTCCATAGCATAATGTCGTATGGTATTTTGCTATGGGGGACACGTGACTGACACTGAAATTAAATTTGTTTTACAGAAGAGGGCCATAAGAGCAATCTATGATTTATCTAACGAGTCGCTCCGACAAAAATTTAAGGAAATTTATATATTAACTTTGGCCTCTCAATACATTTATGAAAATGTGATGTACATACACAAAAATAGAAGAAGTTATACAAAAATAAGTGATATTCATTCTGTAAATACTAGGTAATTTATGTACACAAAATTAAAGTAATTTGCATTGTGTAAATACTCGGAAGAGACACAAGCTAATAGTACCAGTTACTAAACTCCACCGAGTCAGTAATTCATTTTTGGGGCGATGTATAAGCTTTTACAACAAAATCCCAAAAAATATACAAAATTTGACCTGCTCAAAGTTCAAACACTTTGTTAAACAAAGTTTGTATAAAAAGGGTTATTATAATTTTAAGGAATTTATGGATGATTTTTTTTTATTGAAGAGGGGGCAAACGAGCATGCGGCTCACCTGATGGTAAGTGACTACCCCCGTCCATGAACAACCGCAACACCAAGAGAATTGCAGATGCGTTGCCGGCCTTTTAAAAAGGAGTAGGCTCTTTTCTTGAATGTCCCGAAGTCGTATCGGTCGGGAAAAATCGCTGGTCGTAATCGATTCCACAACGGAATTGTGCGAGGAAGAAAACATCTTCTAAATCGCACAGTGGTGGACCGCCAATCATCCAGGTGGTATGGATGGTATCGCAAGTTTTGTCGCGATGTGCGATGGTGAAATTGAGCGGCTGGAATTAGTGCGAACAATTCCTCAGAGCACTACCCGTGGTAAATGCGATAAAATATGCAAAGAGATGCAACATCTCTACACAGTGCCAGTGTATCGAGCCGATCAGAAAGAACTCGGTCGTCGACGATTCGAACCGCTTTGCGCTGGATGCGGTCAAGTGGAAGGTGCTGGCACTGGGGTGCCCCGGCCCAGAGATGAGAACAGTATTCCATGTGAGGCCGGATTTGCGCTTTGTAAAGTTGCAAGCGATGTGCCGGCATGAAATACTGTCTCGCTCTGCTGAGCACGCCAAGCTTTTTAGAGGCCAGTTTGGCCTTCCCAAGTGACCACAAAACTGCACACTATTCGATATGTCGACGCCGAGGATTCCGATGCTAGCTGAGGCAGCAAGGGGAGTGCCTTGAAACTGAGGAGATACGACAAAGGGGTTCTTTTTAGCGGTAAACGCGCAAACTTGTGTCTTCTGGGGATTGAACTGGACTAGATTTAGTCGCCCCCAATCCGAGACTTTGTTCAACAAAGACTCGACTTCAGACACAAGTTTGTCCCGGTACTCGGCGACGTTTTCCCGAGAAATATTGGCACGGCTGGTATATAAGTCACCACCAGTGCTGTCGTCTGCATAGCAATGAATGTTACTAGTTTGCAACACATCATTGATATGAAGGAGAAACAGCGTTGGTGATACCACGCAGCCTTGTGGAACCTTGATGCTCCGATCAGCAAGGAGGACAATTGCACAATTTCTCGGGAAGCCCATAGGAAGGAGGCTTCGAAAGAAGCACTTTGTGTTAGACCCGATCGAAGGCCTTCGCTATGTCCAAACTAACGGCCAAAACCTCCCCCTTTGACTCTACTGCCTCCGCCCATCTATGAGTCAGGTAGACCAGAAGATCACCAGCTGATCGACCTCGACGAAAACCGAACTGGCGGTCACTAATCAGCTGGTGATCCTCAAGGTACTTCATGAGCTGGCAGTTTATAATGGATTCCATTATTTTGGAGAACAAGGAGGTTATGGCGATAGGCCTGTAGTTGGACGGGTCTGAGCGGTTGCCTTTTTTAGGGATCGGGTGGACCAAAGCTGTCTTCCATGAATTCGGGACTACGCCTTGGGAGTAGGAGTACCGGAAAAGACGCGTTAAAACCGGTGCCAACTCCGGAGCACACGTCTTCAGCACAATGGGAGGGACTCCATCAGGCCCACTCGACTTGCTGAAGTCAAGGGAGAAGAGTGATTTACGAACCGAGCGCTGTGTAAGTCGCACATCCGGCATGGAGCGCTCACACCGCGGGATAGTCGGCGGTGTATTCCCCCCGTCATCTAGAGTCGAGTTAGACGCAAAGAGAGAGCTTAAAAGATCGGCTTTCTCCTTTGCGGCATGGTCCAGTGAGTCGACCTCTCTATGCAGAGATGGAAGAGATGGCTGACAGAAGTTCCCTTGGACAGCCTTAGCGAGAGACCAGAATGCACGGGTTCCCGAAGGAAGGCGAACTAGCTTCTCGCCAATTCTGCCGATGTGCTCAGACCTTGCCTTGGCAATGACGCTTTTGAAGGACCTGAAGGCAGAATTGTACTTCTTTTTAAGTGCGCTGGTGTTTACATCCCGAGACGTTGATGCGTCAGCCCAGGCCCGGTAGCACTCCTGCTTATAGCGTGATGCTATTTTACAGGAGCGACCAAACCAAGGCTGAGATCTGCCTACGATGGGCACTACAGAGGATGGAATTAAAAGTTCCATACCCTGAAGTACGAGAATCAGACCCGCGCGCATCCCGTCCCAAACGGCCGACCTATAGTGCTAAACACGGGGGCAAGCTGCAGATCTGACAATGGTCCAAAGAGCCCAGAGGGCCATCGACGGAGACCTGATATCCGTTCGGATGAGAGGTCAACAGAAGGTCCAACAGGGAAGGCACATGATCCTCCACATGTGGGATCCGCGTAGGCGAAGTAACCAGTTGTGTTAGACCATATGCCAAGGCAAAGTCATAGACAGATCTACCCGCATGATCGGTTAAACAGGAACCAAGCCATTCAGCATGGTGGGCGTTAAAATCACCGAGTACCACAATCTCTGCAGACCTGTTGTAGCACAGAGTCTGCAGCCATTTGGACATGGTTGATGAGTCGGTCTGTAGGACATGGGCATTACTGCTATGGGATCTATAGAATCACCCGTAGACGCAGGGATGGTCGTCGCTGTCTATGCGCAGCCATAGGATGGACAGGTACCTTCAAGACTGCCAAGGATAATAAATTTTTTACGTGGTAGAGCCATGCTGCAGCTCTATTAATAGTATAGTTGTAGCACGAATGGGTCGGCTCGAGCGGGGAAGGACCACACTCTCATAGAATATCAGCGTAAAATAGCAGTTTAATGCTGCAGTGTTTCGTATGGTGAATGTAGAGAACTGGATGCCCTTTTTACTGGAAAAGAGGCATTCTATCTTAGTCCTCACGCCTGACAACGCATCTGCATTTTAATTCGCAAATGAAGATATATGTAGATGTCTATGGGCCACAGCAACCACTTACCGTCAGGTGGACTGTGTGCTCGTTTGTCACCCTTATCCTATAAAAAAAAATAACCCATGGGAATGAGGTGATCGCTACCAAGCGATTTCAAATTTCTTTTTGTGTGGTTAATTGTGTAACATACATGATTATAAGTCAATACATAAATTCTGTTTTAATGGAGAATATACATATATTCTCCATTGGTACTTTCTATATTTAATAAAAACAATTTCATATTTCTTTTCATCCGCTTTCCTTTCATTCCACAATCTTTCTGACCTCCCCTTATAGCTGCAGCATGGCTCTACCACTTGTTTTAAAAGACAACAAGCTTCAAGACATTATGAGGTGGATGTTGTTTGGTGAAACCCACAGTGAAGAGAACACTATTTAGTTAGTGAACTCTATATAGCTTAAAGATCTTATTTATACTTTTTTACAGTCACCAAATTAACCCTTTCGATGTCCCGTGCACTACATATAGGGCACTGCTATTGTCTTACTATTGTGTCTGGAAACCAGACAGTGAAAGTTTTAATTATGCAAGATTATGTTTATAGTGTTAACCTTTAGTAACGCATGTTAATACATATTAGTGTAGCAAAATAACACAAAATATTTCTTTAACTTTTATTAACTTCATCAATCTTCCATATTAACTTAAGCCTTTTTTAGTTGATTGTCAGAGGCAAATATGTTAATATTGAATTAAAATATTTTAGTTGCACTACATACACTAAAATTAGTTGACAAATATCTTCGGAGGTCACTACTCCGTGAATTACATTATTTTTATTAGCTTAAATAATAAGTTCAATTGAAGTTATGAATGTAATATGTAGCTTCTTTTAATTGAACCTTTAAAGGTTTTATGAAAAAAAAATTGAATGTAGTAATAAAAACTTTTTGCGAGAAAACTAAAATTAATTCAGTGATAAAAAAACTCACCTTCTCTTCAAAAAATTTTAAATCTGGTTTGTGAGTGTTTACAAATACAATGCATAGAGTAATTATTCCGCAAGTTACAATCTTAGCCATGTTTTTAAACTTTGTATATTAGACTTGAATATAAATAAAATAAACACTGTTTTTTAGGCCTTGGGTAGCATATGGCATTCAACATCCATATGTTCACTTCACAGTTTACAGTTTCACACTCACACTCACTCTGTGTTCACACTTTACGGAACTTTTGCGATAGTGATTTTGATTGTAATGAAAATTATAGTGGCAGCTGCTGGCAGCTAGCCTGACAGCACAGTGTGTTGACAACTTGACAGTTTATTCTACAGCTTATGACCACTCCACACTTAGTCCGCGAATCGCGCGTGAAATTGCGAAAATACCCTTACGAATAATATAATAAACGATTCGCATCATCACGCTTCGTTCGCGCATTGTTTATTCAGTTTTTGACGCTATTAACAGTGGTAGAGCCACGCGGCAGTTTTTGCTGTCGCACGTATGGGCCGGCTCGAACCGGGGTGGTACCACGACCTCACAGAAAACCAGCGTGAAGTAGAGGTTTACCTCTTCGTTTCGCTTGGTGAGTGCAGGTGGCCGGAGGCCTTTTTTACTTGAGATGAGGCATTCCATTTTAGTCCGCACGGGTGACAACGCATCTGCATTTTGATTTGTAACAGAGGATAAATGTAGATGTCTATGGGCCGCAGCAACCACTTACCATCAGGTGGACTGTGTGCTCGTTTGTCACCCTTTTTTAGTCATATCTACATTATATTTAAAATGAATATACATTATATTTGTTTTGAAGATATCTATCAAAAACGGAAGTTCCTTTATCGCATTACTATGTGTACCAGTCGTCAAACATTTTTGTTTTCTCCGAACTTTATTGATTTATATTTTTTACATTTAAAATGTGGGGGTGTCTATAAAATACCGGATGGATCGAGAGTGAGCGAGAGGTTGCATCATTCTAGAGAGCATGACGCTCCACTAGTGACGTAGAGTGACTCAACCTATAAATCAATGGTGCTGGGGGTAGAATTGAGGGTGGTACGACTTTCCATTGAAGTCAGTCGAGTTTGGTGTTGATACGTATTTTTACAAAAAGATTACATTTTTATAAGCACACACACAAAGTTTCAATATACGGAAACACGTACTTATTGAGAAAAAATATTGTAAATCAAATAATTTTGCAATATTTAGTCAATTCCTACCGTGAAACTGACGCCATTTTTATTATTATTGTCAGTAAGGATGTGGATTCTTTCCGAAAAAGATCGATTTTTTAAATAGATTCTAATTGTAAGCTGATGTATCGATTCCCAAAAAATTGATTTCTAAAATATCGATATTTTTCATGTTTGCATTTATAATGTAAATATAAATCCATTTTATGAGAAAAAAATCCCCTTCATCATAAAAAAATAAGGGGACTGATTCATAAGGATTTCTGTATCTATTTTGAGACTGCTACGTCTCCGGCGCTGCGGGAAGAGCAACCTCTACGCCTTAGCGTAACAAATCGCAGGCATCCCTCCTCGCCTCCGCAGCTTCGCCGTTACAGCAGGCCGAGGCTGCTCCTCCTACGCGCCTCCGGCTCTATAAAACCACTCTAGGGGTAGGACAGACTCGTACCAGGTGGAGACGGGGTCAATCAATTCGGTTCTTTGACATAAGTTGAACCTAACCTATTTTATTTGTTTTCTGCCCTAATAGGTACTGTTAAATAAAACCAATTTCAATAAGAGATCATTTATCATGGTATCTTTCTTGTTTTTCATAAAATGGGTTTATATTTACATTATAAATAGAAACATTAAAAAAATATAGATATTTTAGAAATCGATTTTTTCGAACCGATACATCAGCTTACGATTTGAATCGATTTAAAAATCGACCTTTTTCGGAAAGAATCGACATCCCTATTGACGTCGACAATGACATTACAAATTGGCGCCAGTTTATTAGCAGATTAGACATAAACATTGCAAGAATAATTGATTTTCAATTATTCTTTTCTCAAAAATTCTGCGTTTCCGTATATTAAAACTTTGTGTGTGTGCTTATAATAGTGTAATCTTTCTGTAAAAATACGTATCAACACCAAACTCTACTGACGTCAATGGAAAGCTAAGCCTTGAGGGTGATCTACCCTTAACCCCCACCCGTTTGTGCAGTATAAAGTAAGGGTATTAGTGTTTTGTGGTATAAAGTTCAGTATAGGTGCCGAGCGCAAGATTTCGCCCACAGAATACGTTTTCGCCTAAGTCATTCTACGTAGCAGTAGCGATAAAGTAGTATCGTGGCTCTGTCCGTGGTGGTAGTTCTTATGGTGCAGGCAAGGAGGATTGTGTTGCTGATAGGCTGCTCTGTGTTACACTGAAATCTGCAGTGCTGCTATTCGCTTGCATACTTTCGGTGTTGTCATGTAATTACGTCACACATGTTACACCAGTGTAATTGTGACAAATATCATCGGAATCCAATTACTGTGTGGTTGAACTGTAATTGCTCTATACTCTTTAAGCTATTAATTGCGCATTGCAAGTAACGTCATGATGTATTTCCGAGATATAGATTGTAATAAAAGTGCATCTTTACTTACAATAAACTATTTCCTTTGCTAACAAATACATATACATGAATTCACGATGATTTATAATTATAGAACGCTAAAACGTATAACAGGAGAATTAATGGTTGTTACTTCGACATTCATCTCCTTCATACGAACCACTTTGCGGATTTTATGTGAAACCAATGCTAGTGTAGAGTCACTGCTTTTTTCGACGTATTTTTCTCGCCGCACGTGATTCGCGTGCCTAAATGAGAAGCGGGCATAATAGTTGCTGTTGTTTTAGTTTGGCATTTAAAGCAGGCAAAAGCATCAGGTCATACAGCCTCGTCATTTTGTACTTTGTAAAAAATATATTTTACAATAAATATGCTGATGCATCACAATTGTGAAGTTCTTTGGAGATTTGACAGACAGTTTATTACGATAACATCTCAAGGTCCCTAAGCGGGGAAAAATCCTGAGATTTATGTCACTATTGAGGCACTAGATATATCGTTTCCACCAATAGTTGCATCAATGCGAAGAGGCGCATGTGAGCTATTGGTGGAGAGTAAGTTAAGTGTCTACCTATTACACAAAATCGCACCACTTTTCAACCAACTTTAAAAAGGAGGAGAGGTTGACTATTAGTCGGAATATTTTTTTTATGTATGTACACCGATTACTCGAAGACACCTGAACAGATTTGGAAAAAATTCTCATGCCGGCCCTTCACTTCGGGCCAGCCATACGAGTTCCTCTTCGTTCACAATGGGTGACCAAGCTGTGGCTATTAAACTCCCCCCATCCCCTGCGATTACAGATTGGGAATCCCTGGGTAAATATATTCAAACAAGTTCCGAGTCACGTAGCCATAATTTCTCTTTTTATTATTCATAGAAGCTGTCACATCTCACTCCGTCTGTAGCAATTTCTTCCGAAATTAAATTTCATAAATGCCTATTATTTGAGCCTACCTAGGTATCTATTATTTATGCGATGAAATCCTTTTATAATAAAATTATAAAAGGATTTCATCCCTTTATCCTATAAAAAAATCCCTCAAATAATAGGTTGTACATAATAATAAACACTAAACAAAATATTACAATAGTAAAAGTATACTTAAATTACAGCCTCTATAATAGCACAGATAATAGTCCCCATTTCCACTACATGGCATTCCGCCGCACTGCACTATTACTTGTTGACAACGCGTAGTATTTCTATATCCTATCCTATATCCTATCTCCCCGCCTAAGGGTATTAGTGTTCTGTGTTCTATATAGTTTGTGTTGTTGACAGACTTCACATATATTCGAAGTATTTTTTTGGTATTTTTATTCCACCTCTTGATAAAGAGTAATTGTGTTCTGTGTATTCCACAAATATAGATTTCTTCAAGATGTTTTCCTGCACAGCTAAGCATGTGGTGGCATTTAAAATTGCAATAAGAGTTTTATTGGTGCCGGGGGGATCGAATTTTGATTGTTCGGGTACTACTACTTCAATATTAAATTAATGAAATAAAAAAATATGTACATTGTACGAAGTACATGTATTTCCATGATAAGTACAATATGTAATAAAACTACGTTATCGAAATATTTATACTGCCGAATCACAAATCAGAGTTTTAATTTAATTATCGAATGTATTTTTGGTGCCGGTGGGGATCGAACTTTTATTGTTCGGGTACTACTGCTTCATACATTAAATTAATGAAATAAAAAATAAATATGTACATAAGTACCTACGTATTTATTTTTTATTTCTAAAAGTAGTAAATATATAAAAATAAATACGTATGTAAGTAATAAAATAACGTCATTGAAATATTTATACCTAATGCCGAATCACAAATCAAAACTTTAATTTAATTATCGAATGTTATCCTCCTGTTAAACAATTTCTGGTAGTATTTTCTGGTATTTCTGATACTGTTATTATACACGTTACGTTAGATATTGATTATTTATCAAACAAATAAAGCAATAAAACATTTGCTTACAATATTTTCCCATTATATTACGTTCGAACTTCGAATATATTATTATCAAAAATACAAAAATATTCTCGACTGTTTATATTCCTAGATTAACGGCCACCGGTTAGTCACTACTTTCGGAATCAGTATCGGTAGACGGTAGATTTTAATATTCATCCAGCCAGGGAAATTTTCAATCCAAACTCCATTAATTTGTACATTATATGATTACAAACTTACATTTACAGTACATTGCAAGTACTTTTCTAACTGCTTACACTGGTATGCGTACCGGTATTTAATAGTAGTTACTATAACAAACGAGCACACAATCCACCTGATGGATGCCTTAGCCCATAGACACTACACTGTTTAGATATGTGGTAATTTGCTATACCTACTCGGTTAAGAATCAAAATGCATTTATTTATAGATAACAACAACTTATTATGTAAGTTAGTTAGTTAGTTTCCCGCTTAGTCGTGGCGGGCGGGGGGGGGGGGGGGGGGCTTAATAGACGTA